TCGAGCTGTCGTTAATCATGTCATTCGTCCAATTTGCGTCTATTTCCTCAGCTGTTCATCAATGATAGAGGGCAAACAGCAAAGATAACTGCATATAAATTAGATGGGAATGATTAAGGTTTGCTTCAAGATGGGAATACTATCAAAATTCACACAAACTGACCTGTTTTATCAAATCCCGAAATCCCGGGATTTTTCAAAGCTTGAATCCCGGGATCGAGATCAGAACTGTAATCCCGGGATCCCGTGCAGACCCTAGTCCTTACAATCTCGGTAATCCTCGCATGAGAATCTCGATTTTAGAAATCGTTTCTTTGCAGTGGTCTTATGATTCCTCACTTTTGCTGTTCGGTATGGCCGATGGTGAGGTGCATGTGTACGATGCTAGTGGTACTTTTGTGCAGAAGGTACACATGGTATGCCTTGAGAATGTGGAACTTGAAACTGCTCTCACGAGTTGGTTGTTTTATAATATAAGACTTTTCGGGTGTTTAGTAGAATATTTTTTGCTAAATCTGTGCTAATTCATGTCGTTCACCTACTCGGCATCATACTTTACAACGCAACAATTCAATCAGCTTACAGCCAGCATTGTTCCAATGCACTGCAATGGAATGAATGCTGTTTAAATCAGTAATACTGGCCATGTGATTATTTGGTTGCAGATTCACCCAAAAACATAGTCGCAGATACTCCCTCTGTTCAAATAATATACGAACTCTGAATAAGTACGATGAATATTGCAAACCTTCAAGAAAATGTAGCATTTGATTTTTTCAATCAAATTTATGTCGATTGAGAAATAATTTCAAGAAGACTTGCGGAGAGACACTATTATATCAATGCAGTGGTACGTCGCGGCGCTTGCGTCCAAGATCTACGATGGTCGCCCAAACGATGCAGGAGCCTTTGGTGGGTACCATATTAAAACTTTATCTTCAATGATCACAAAACATTAGCTATCAGCACCTCGAAATAAGATGAAATTCTTCAAAATAAATAAACAAAGATGTCAGCCCATCTGTTGTTGCAGGTGAATCATCCATGAACCCAGCAACCGTGGGACGCATCACACTTGAAGCAGCCACTCATCCACTCTTCCGTGGCCATATCCCCGAAGACCGTCCACGATTTCTCATTGCATATAAGCACGGAGTAGTACAATTGATGAGAAATGAAAATGATGCTAGTAAGTTGATTGTACTTTTTATTCAGCCCCATAGCAACATAACAAACTGTATATGTTGTACAGTGAATATCTGCGTAATTGGGCAGTAATCATTTGAGAACATCAAACAGATCTGTCAGCATATTTTAAAGCGAAAACCATTAGAAAAAATATTAGGTGAAGAAGAAGAAAAAAATGTTCCGTGAATAAGAACAATATTGTCCATTGCGCCACGCGGCCACAAATACAGTCCTTCCGCTTCAGTTGAACCAAGCAGGCTGCTTATTCACACTCCAAAGGTTATCAGACGCGTTAGCAATGTAAAAGATAGCTCAAAATTAAGCAAAATCTTCGACCACGGCAGGATTCGAACCTGCAATCTTCGGTTCCGTAGACCGACGCGTTGTCCATTGCGCCACGCGGCCACAAATACAGTCCTTCCGCTTCAGTTGAACCAAGCAGGCTGCTTATTCACACTCCAAANAATCTTCGGTTCCGTAGACCGACGCGTTGTCCATTGCGCCACGCGGCCGCTTGTGGTTTCCTTTCTCTGCAGCTAGATATATATTCTGGATATATATTCTTACCAGCCAGATTAACTGTTCAGGCTTCAGTCGATTCTCGATGCTGTCAGTATCTCATGTTTTTTACGTCGGTGTCATCATATGTCTTCAAACTGTGCTGAACTCTTAATTCAACTTAGATAACGATTAGATTTCATCGCGAAGTTACGGATGAGGTTTTGTGGAGGATGTGAATCCGATGGATTCGTTTTTGAGTCCAATTGAGTTCAGTCATTTTTATGTTTCATAATAATACCTTTAGCATTTCGCGCGTCTTTTCAGGTCCAATTGTGATCAAGCTGCCGAATATGATTTTAAGCAAGGCGAAGTGGAGTCCAGATGGTTCTTTGCTTGCAATTTGCGGTCTACAAACTGATCTTGATGTTGAAAAGTGTGTCGTCCATTTTGTGACTGCTTATGGCGATGTAATTGTTTGGAACTTTGTTTTCGTAGCATCCGTTGTGATGTTGTCATTCTTGAGAAGCTGTTTAATGTCACCGGATACAATGAGATGGGCTTTTGCTTAGTTCATGCCATTGTCGTAAACCTTCGTGAAATTCTCATCTCTTTAAGAAGTTAAAAATAATCTTACAATTAGGCCCTTTCCAGTCGAACGATTGTGTTTGTTCGTTTACCTCCCGGTCCAGTTAACGAATCCTCCTCTGTCGAACGGATATAATTTGTACTGATGTTGTATTTGTTCTGCAGCGCCAGCGTCTCCTTCAAATTCCCGGCCAAACTATATCCGATTTGACATGGGAAGGTGGAGGGCTGCGTATTTGTATGGCAATCGATTCTCACCTCTTCTTCGCAAACATTCGCCCCAACTACACGGTATTTCTTTGCAACGTGCTAGTTAATCTCTATCGGACTTATGGTGTCAATGTTGTTATCGATGATTTTTAGAATGGTTGTGATAATTTTTTATGTTGATTCATACCTACTAACAGTCATGACGTATTGGTGAGTGGAACCATGGAACGTTGTCGGGCTTTTTACTGACTGTTGATGAGTTCGAACATTTTGTGACTTTGAAGCAATTGAAATTTGATCGCATGCGATGACTTAGTGATGGTTTTGCCATAAGGAGATTGAGCTGATGTTCAAGAGATTTAAAGGCTAGGAAATGCACATGAGTAGGCTAAACTTTACTTGTGTGGATTCCATGAAGTTTTTGAGCAGTGTCACCGTTCGAACCGCTGATGACATAAAACAATAGGTCGCGAATTGTTTGAAAATCGCCAACGATTGCTGCACTGTATTCGATGGCAGTGGATCGCAATAGGTCGTAAAATTTATCTGTCGACTGAGTCGACATTGACAGGTGAGTAGGTAATAGATGTTCATTTCAGTGGGCATATTGTGGGCAAACAGTGGTTTACAGCTATGAACGATCCGAACAAAATGAGCATTGTGTTGTATTTTTTGAGACAAAACTCGAAGAATGTTATCAGAAATATGTGAAACAATTGTTACATATTGCTGCATTCGAAGATCATTGTGTGGTGGTGAATCGTGCTGATGATCAAGCTGGAATGGTTTGTTTTCGTCGATTTCACGCTTTTCTCTCAATTGAACTAAAGAAGGAAAGATGTTAGTGAAATTGGTCGTCGTCAAACGGATGATGTATCAAATCATGACATGTATGTATTATTGGTGGATTATTCCTGAAATGCTGATTGTTTTGCCTGATCAATAGAGACAGATCATAATCGTTTGATTTCGTCAATTGCGATCACTCGCGTTTTGTAGTACTTTATGCAAATTTGCAACGGAATTGGTACTCCGGTGGATTCGAAGTATATTGATTTGGAACCGAAATTTGTTGCAATGAATGGCTCCGAGGTGCTGGTTGCCAGTGCTGATGCGTTTTTCCTGTGGCGCTATGTGATTCCGAGAAGCTCTCGACGTGAATCATTACCAACCAGCACGAATACCAGTGACTTGTACGTGATTTGTATGCTTTTGGATGTCCTTGGATTAAAACTGGCTCGCTAAGTAATACTTTCAGAATATATCACATTGACGACAACAGTGCTAAAGATGCCACTAAACTTGCTGCTCTTCAGCGAAAACCACATGTAAGAAGGTTTAATTTCTAGCTTTGTTCACAGTTTGAAGGTATTCAGTGAAACCTCAGTCGCCCCAACACGTGAAAAGTTGACTATTTAAGCGATTGATGTCTTAAACAACTTCTTCGCCTTACTCAAGATTATTGACGACGTAACTTCACCGACCGTTTTATAGTTCGGACGTCTGAAAAGCCTTCTGCTTCATATAATCCATTCGATCGCCACAATTAGGTTGAGAGGGGGTTTAGAGGGTTGAGAGGGGGAGGGGGGGGGGGAGCGATCACCATTTTCATTTGCTAATCGCTAACTTCTCGCATTCTGAATTCACTCTGATTTCAGCGCCAAGACGACCTGATCTGCGCAGTGAGCATTACCGAAAAATTCTTCTTAATAGTAAGTTTTCCAAACATATTCTCACTTCCGTCGGAACAACTGCATCTGACTGAACCATTGTCTCATTCCATTTGCATTGCAAGCGCTTTTATACAATTTTGTTTCACACAGAGTATCAAATTTCTACCGCTGAAAATTCTTCACCGATTCTGTCGATGTTAAGATGTTCGAGTAAACTACAGATCGTTTCATAAAAATTACTTCGTTCCGAATGGGCCTGTGCTCCGAAGTTTTGCGTTTGTGAACTGACTCTTTTCAGTGTCGAGAATCCGGCTCAGTTCAACGATATTCGTTACCTCAGATCATCCTAAAGAATACATTCCTGTTAGGATGTCGAGTTGAACGAATGGAACTGAACTGCAATGGAACAAGATTGGCTGTTCTAACGTCGCAAGGAATGCAACTGTTTGAAATCAGTGAAACTTCAACTAAAATGATGAACTTCGATCGAAAGGATGTTTGGTGTATTAAGTGGGATGCGGTATCGCGTTCTATATTATTTCCAATTTTGTTTTTCTTTTCACTATCAACTTTATTATTGTCACAATTGATGCTGCTAGTATCAATATCGTTATCACTGCTGTTATCTTTGCCATGGTAAATATTGTTATTAATACCGTCAGTAAAATACTGAACATGGGGTTATAATTAGAACTACTACGGTTGAATCAATGACATAAATTACTCTCTGAGATATTTCAAGGAGAAAGACGATACAATCGCAGTAATGGAGAAAACACGAATGTATGTGGTGAGAAATACGGAGTGTGAAGAACCGATCGTCAACAGCGGATATTTGTGTTCATTTCATAATCTCACTGTACGAACTGTACTTCTGGATGAGATCATGAAAAGTCCTGAGAATCCAGATAAATCCTATATCGTCGACGTAGAAATCAAGGTTCTTGTTTTTAAATCAAAATTACCACTTTTGTGACATGAAGTAACCTACCTCAAATCAAAAATTACTCCTTTCCCTTCCATGATTCCCTGCGGTTGTTATTTTAAATCGCCACTATCATAGTGGTTGAGCACATATCAACTTCGGTTTCAGTCGTTGAGAGATGCAAAGAATCTTCTGGAGAAGATGAAAATTCAAGAAGCTACAGCATTCATCGAGAAGAACAGCCATCCCAAGTTGTGGTCCTTGCTGGCTGAGGTGGCGTTGAGTCGTCTGGATACAGCAACTGCTGAACATGCATACGTGATGCTCAAGGACTACGCTGGAATTCAGCTGATTAAACGTATCAACGGTATCCAGGTATCTAGCACTGCACTTTCTTAAGTTCCAGTGGAAGGCGCCATACTTTGTGATCTTCGATATAAGGCTTACAACTTTATGAACTTCTTCGAACAATTCCGAAGCTCAAGTTTCTCTCATCTACTAGATTTGGGATTTCCTAATTAGGTACAGAATAATACGGATCCGTCTTAAAATACACACTCCTGTTTTGCATATTACTTTCAGTGCCACTTTGATATCACTTCATCAGTAATTCCTTGCTTAATACGCCCGATAAATTCATTATGTTTTACTGTCATAGCACGAAGACTTCAAACGTGCTGAAATCGCAGTTTTCCTCGGTCGTTTGGACGAGGCGGAAAAGATCTATATGGAGCGTGATCGTCGAGATTTGGCGATTGCAATGCGTCGTAAGATGAACGATTGGTTTCGGATTATGGAGATCGTTCAACGAAGCTCAGGGCCTGGCGACGATCAGCTTCTGAAGCAGGCTTGGAATCATGTTGGCGATTATTATGCTGACCGTCAGAACTGGTTCGTCTTCATCATGTTCTCCTAAATGAACTGAATCCTCAAGCTGATTGCGTTTACGTCTCCTGATTGTGCTGAGGATGATATTAGATTCATTTTCATTGACCACGCCTTCACTATTATCCAATAAAGTGAATGCTCAATTTTTGTGAGAAGATCTCTTCCAGAAAGAGCCGTGATAACAATTTTAGGATGCAAGCAGCCTTCTATTATGAAAAATGTGAAAATTATGAACAATTAATTCGATGCTATTTGATGAACGATAATTACGAGAAACTCGGAAATCTATCCAAGCAACTACCTGATGGTCACGATCTCCTGAAGGTCCAATTTCACTCTTTTTTCGTTAACAATTAAAGGATGTATGGTTTATGAATGAAATTTTCGGCAAAATTTCCCTCGGATCACAAACTTTGCTCGCTCAGTGAACATTTTGATCTCTTTTTCGTCATGTTCTCAAACAAAAATAAGTGTGCGAGATGATCACTGGTAGATTTTTTTTTGGTCATAATCGGTTTATTCAGCAACATTCATCAAATACTTCAGCTTCCACTGATCACCAATCAATAACGCATGGATTCGTATTCCTTGAAGATTTATCAATCCATTAATGATTTCAGATGATCGGTGAAATATTCGGTGGAGCCGGTTTATGTGAGCAGGCCGTCAACTGCTATCTAAGAGTAAGATTGAAAAATGTTCGATTCCAATATAATGATTGCGCTAAATACTTTTATTGATGATTGGATCTTTCATGTGACTTGTCGAACGATAATCGCATTCACTTGTTGGTTCAGGATTTTAGGAATGTTACTCATTGTGAAAATATGCATTGATGTTTATGGCAAATCTGATTTGATCGTTTGCAATTGTGAGCTATGATTCAGTTCTAGTGTGAAATTTCAGTGTGATATGTTGAACGATGCGCTTGATGTTTGCATTCAGTTGAATCAATGGGACAAAGCCGTGCAGCTATCGAAAACACATAATTTACGTAACGTCGATGCACTCCTGGGAAAGTATGCTGAACAGTTAACTGGTCGGTTACTTGAAATAGGAGAACATATGAATCAGAAATTCTTTACAAGTTTTGTCGAGATCGTTTCCGTGAATATGAGAGATTCGATAATTATCTTCTGTATTACATCAGTTACTCTTGCCATCGAAACCAATCATTATATTGAATTCCAATTTGTCGAAAAGTCTTATTGACGGTTAGATGATTTCTTCAGGTAGTAACGAAAAGACATTAGCCGCGGTGCAGTTGTATCGGAGAGCCGGAAAGTTCCTGGAAGCAGCACGAATCGTGTTTGATGTATGCCAAATTTCGAGCTTTCAACAGTAGCTCATTACCTTTTTTTATGAAACGTTATCCACTTATTTTTCTTGAGGTGTTCATAAACCGACCCAAAGCAACTTGATGATTCCTGCTATTCATTAACAAACGAACACTCCTTAACTACTGTTCGCGTTAAGTTTAGTTCAGTGTTTCAATGGAATTTTAATCGTACACGTGAGTAAAAAAATTTGTTCGTTAACGATATTTTGGTCATCAAAAAATGCTCTCCGTAAGAAAATTGAGAGATTCATTGGCAAACTGTTTCAGATTGCCAATGAGGAACGCAAGAAACAAGCGCAGCCGTTACGTTTGAAGAAGTTGTACGTGCTGGGAGCACTTCTTGTCGAGCAGTATCATGATCAGAACAAAGCTGAAGTGGCGAAAGATGCTGATAACAAGAGTGGTGTAAGCTTCGAATTGAAATAATTCCGTCTCAGATCCGACAAAACCTTCCACGAATTTGTGTCTAGTTTGAGCATGATTTCTTATTGTCGCCCATAGATCCATGCATATTGCAGTATTCGGTTATCCCAAATAGCATTATCAGGAAATAAAATTTTCTCATTGTCATGATTCTAATTAGGAACTGAACAGTCAGTAATTTATGCCAAATAATCTTAAATTCACCAGAAAATAAAAAACAATCTTGTTGAATCCAAACAAGTAGTGCATGAATGTGGAAATTAACCTCAATCGGTTAACGTCAGTAATTTAGGCCGAAGTGGCTCTGCGAGGTCTTCTGGAGGAAGATAATGCGTTGTCACTGGCTGACACTTCATTAATTGACGGTGCATGGCGTGGAGCTGAGGCTTATCACTTCTACATGCTAGCACAGCATCAGCTTTATGAAAGTACCAATGCCATTGGAATATTCGTGATTTCATAGCATTTTATGCGATTTCATAGCAATAGATTATTAACTTTCCATTCAACATTCAGTCAAAATATGTCATTCAGATATTTTCATAAGAGTTGAACGTTTTGATGCCGACCCTTTTTTATATGTCAAAAGTTTTTTATGATCTGTCCTTGTACAGACCGCATATTTCGGACATACTTAAGCTGATGGAGAGGGCCTCCTGGAACCGTTAGCTACATAACCGAAATAGTCTCATTGAAACGTCCTACAACGATATCCAAGACAATTAATCTTCTATCAACTGATTACTTTATACCAGATGATGTGGACGCTTCAATGAAGACGGCCCTCCATTTAACAGATTTCGATGACATCCTGGAGCCAGTTGAAGTCTATTCGTTACTTGGTATCTTTTACTGTTGCTTAAGTTACGACTGTTTGACAAGAGATCTTGGCATCTTGCTCATTTTCAATACTTCTTAGCAATACTGAAGACTCACTCAGTTTGTAACGACTATACGCACTTGTCGTTAATCTTTTAATCTCAAACTTGGGTAATTAAACCATAGCCATAGCATTCATAGGAAAATATAATCGATAATGATAACGACGTAAACAGCAACATTCATAATGACGACAGTGTTATACTAACAGTAATAATAACATTATTAATAATAACAACACCTCGCGATAATATCTCTTAAATTCAAAATTTCCAATTGCTTATTACTGATTTCGAATTAATCTTAACTGTTACCAATATTGTGACCTTAACTATGAATATCATCAGTCATCTTAACCACTAGTAACAAATACAACCCAACCACCAGTAACACGGCTTACAATAATCCACAACGACACAGACAAACCGTACAGAACAAGAAATGTGGGATGAATGATTCGCCACTCTCACTTTCGATATTCACACTCTCATGCTGCTCCTATTCGTTTCCATTAATGATCCTTATGATGGCTTACATCCGATGCCCTTCTTATCGCATTTCCTATCTTGCCTTTGTTCAGTCTCCTTATGGTAACGTTGTAAAATCATGAATCATTTTCTTTTCGTATTTTAAACTCTTTTCCTTTTCGTGATTATCTAATCACGACATAGTTATAAAATGTAATCTTTGAACATCTGGTTTTCAATGAGTGGGTTGAAGCAGCACTAAAAACAAGCAATGCAAGTATTTCCCTACTATTCCGAGGAGCCATAATTATAATCGCTGAAATATAGTATTTAATGGAAAATGATGTGAAGTGAATTCCTGACATATATCCCAACTAGCCTCTGAAAATGTTTGTTTTTCAGCGTTGGCCAGCTGCGCAGCAAGACAGTTCTCAGTGTGCAGTAGAGCATTCATTAAACTCGAAAGTCTCCCATCTATAACACCTCAAGAAAGAGAAGCATACAGCAAACTGGCACTCACAATATTCACAAAGTAAGGAATTTGAACACAACTTAAATGTTATCCAGATTTAGGAAGCTTCTCTCACTCAGCAGAACCGTTCGGTATTTCTGTTTCGATTCGCATTTATTCATGCTTCGCTTTCAATTTCAGGTATCCACCAAATGACACCCGTTTGGTTCAGGTCGAATGCACTGGATGTGACGCACACATACCCGATTATTGCCAAATGTGTCCAAATTGTGACACTAAATTTCCAACTTGTATTGTCAGCGGAAGACCGTTACTTGATTATCAGTTCTGGTTGTGTCCTACGTGTAAGCACCGCGCTTATGAGCAGCAAATCAGCTCCATGCGTTACTGTCCATTGTGTCATGGAGAAGTTTGATTCAAACTAATCAGGAAATCAAAAATCTTATCCCACACTGATAACAAATCATCATGAGTATCAAACTTCTCGTTTCCAGTTAATATTATAAAAGTATTGTAATGGTTCCGTAAAATATTAAAGATGAATGGTTTCGCTATGAGGCGTTTGCCTTTTACCTAATGTAAATATTCGTTGAATGAATGTTTCCCAAAGGAATCACATTCACATTCAGTGACAGTCGAGCAACTTTCTTTAAGATCATTTATTCAAAAAACGACAAATTCTATCATCGAACACACAACACTATGTATAAACATGCACATATATTTGCACACTTTCCGAATTCGGGATTAATGGGTTTGCCTTCTGTCAAGAAATAACAAACATTCGTAGAAGTAATCCATATAATCGAAATAAAAACGCAAATAAAATGAGACGGGCGATTTTGAGTGAATCTGAATTGATAATACAATAAATAACCATGTGCACATTAATAAAAGAGATGTAGCTCAGTGCATATATGAAGTCTAACCAGAATGTTCAAATAAAATTAGAAATCTGTTATCTTGCGAGTAATTACATTCCATTTGGACAAATATACAACGAGCTGAGTAGGCATATTGAAACTTTTTACGGTGCTAGGAGACCGTTTATGTAAACAGAAAGATGATTTGGTCATCCTATAGCAAATCAATCGAAACGAGAAATCTAATGACCAGTAGTAGTATGTGCAGGCCAGAAGCCGTTTTAGTCGCATTACTTTAATTTTTTCATGACAAGATGAATCCAATCAATGAATGTGTTTCGAAATTAGTAAAAAGTTTGGCCTGATTAATAGTCAATGAAACTCAATGTTACAGAAACAAACAATCAAAAACAGAATAAGATGACACGTGGAAATTTGATCGTGATTAAGGAGAGGAACACAAATTAAATGATGCATATTGCAGCATCAGCAAAGAAGATTGATTAAGAGTTGATTAGCCGTGTGAAAATGAAAAGATAAACATTAATTGAAGAAACGTAAACGTATGAAGTCAAATTGTACAGCTGATAGGTTATTCTCAAAAAGTATTCTTAAAGCGCAATAACATGAATGGAAAAATCTGAAAATAACAGCAAGAAGAGGAATGATTTGAATGACATTCAGCATGATTGTGAACGACCAAAAACATAAAAAGAAGAGAAAACTGGATCAGTGTGAATGCATTTCATACAACCGGGNGGGCAATTGTGCAATTTTATGAATATGCAGACACCATGAAAGATAATGTTCAGCAAGGAAATCTCACTATCATAATTCTCATATATGTTGATTAAAACGGTGAATTAAATGATAGTAAAATTTGAATAAAACTGATCAGAGCCAACTGAATGCGAGAATGTTAATCATAGGAAATGAAATAAAAAAGGTCGATAAAATATTTAAGTGGAGCCATCGGATATGACAGATTAAAATATTGAATACTGAATAAAAATCCAATGTTCTCAACTAATTGCAACGAAAATTTGTGAATTTTTATAGATGAGGATAACCGTTTCAAATTAGTGACGAACTGTCGACAGCACATAGAGATCATTTACCAGCGATAAGTGGTGACCTGCACAAAAGTAATCATTTAGTTATGTGAAGCAATTATTACAACTTTGTAAACAATTCGCAGTTTAGAATTCTTTCGCACAAGTGAAATCAGCAAACCTCATACTGATGCAAGACTGCTGATACTAGGTTGTAAATTTTTGAACGGATAAATTTCATTTGTTTTTTTCATTTTACATAAGGAACTTCATTCAGACTTCTCATTGTCAGTATAACGAAAGCATTGAGCCATCTACACAAAGCAGAAATAGTAAAACTGCTTCATTTCGTGATTCCATTTTAATACATCAACTTTTGCTGCGATTCATTATTGCGACGAATAACCGATAAGACGGTTTATTAAGACGCTTGAGAGATTGGAAGTGATCAAAAAGTTACAACTTACAAATTATTCGGGGTGAAGTTGTTGGTGACCATAACCACTGGTGGGGAGTCGTAGGAGATCCGACTCGTTACGCCCAGTTCATAATCGGTTGCCGTTGGACTGGCTGGATTAGCACTCACTGTAATGATATGGGTTTTATTCCTAACATCCTTTGAGCATGAAACAAATCTGCAGGTTGAGATGGCAAATTTTTCGCGCGAAAAAATGAAACTGAAAAGTGCAAATCACACCGCAAGCTGTCATCTGGTCTGATGACAACCTTCGAGGAATTTGGTTCTGCAGATAATAGCTTAGGGAACCAGTTCTGGAGATAATGGTTAATAGGTTAGCTTTTTTTCCGCACCTTAGCAAATGAAGCCGACTTTTTTGAAGCAATGACACACTAGATCAACTGTGTTCAAAAAACTTTTAAGTGGATCATTATCATGGGAAGTGAAATTCCGATACGCTGAAATAGGGCATTATGGCGCCTCAGGTGAACAACAAGCCGACTCAGGTACATTTCGAACTAATTTTTGGATGCACACATCCGCACAGGTTATTTCTAGATTAACAGCCGGATTAGATTCAGACGAATTCGGTGATTCGAGAAAATTTGTTACCCTAGTGCGATTGCAACAATGCGTGGTGCGAAAAGTCAGGTTTGAATTTGCGAATCAAATTCGCCGAAACATCAGCTTGCTTCATCAGGGTGACAGAGAATCCTTTGGGACGCAATAGCTCGTGGTTACATGTGAGACGATTTTGACATTAAGAAATAAAGCAGTCGAAAGCAAACTACCTAGGGAATTTAAATCAACGGTTCCGTGGTCCATGTACGTCTGCCATTTGCTCAATTCAGCTCTTTTTTGCTCGCTTAGCTCTTTTTCACTAAAAAAAAGAAAGTTATTACACAACGAAAAACAATTTGTTAGGCTCTCTCCAATAATCAAGATGATACAAGTCATACAACCCAAATGATCACATTGCATTCGATAGCTATTTGCATCTTTCCTTCAAAGTATTCCTTATGATACTGCTAAATCGCTCAACGAATTATGAAACTCATTTGAACTAAATCATCGCTTTATATGAACAAATGAAAACAGCAACGAACGTTTCGCAAATTTTTTGATACTGATCGAAAGTGATATTCTCTCCGGGATACCACTCGGCAGACTCCGAAGCCGTCGATTCGTCCGGATAAGTGAAAACTGCTGGTGGTGTAGTTTTAAATTCGATCCTTGTGACCTGAACAAATGAACACTTAAATTATGTCATTCGACTTTCCAACGCTGTAAAGCCTGATTTTTGGATGGAATGCGATCATAGAATGCGCACAAATCAATAATCAAATCTACTCGATGGACGCAATGCTTCGAAGCCGTTGAAAAGAGAATGAAAATATGATTGAAGCTAACGTTACGAATTTTACGGCGTTGTTGACGCTCATTCGTATCGTGAATTATTCCTTCATTCGAACTGGATGGCGTCGAAGTCACATCTTCGAATTCGAAATTCAACTGTAACGTAGACAAATGAAGAGAACCTGCTTGAAAGACAGTTACGAGGCGATTTCATTCCTTATATTCGTCATAAATCACAGGCATTCGAACTAGGAATGTTTGATGGCTAATGACAAGTCATCGTAAGTTCTATGAGGAAGTGAATAATAATAAAATAAAGCTGAAGATGATGTTCAATCGGTAATCAATATGGACATTATGAACGAAAGGCACATCGACCGATATCAACGAACCTTCTCGGCCATCGCTTCCAGCAATAACGGCACATCCTCTTCCGGCACTAAACTAATCAACGAATGCCGCACCGGATTACCGTCACCAGCTGTCGTATTCTTAAAATGAGCAAATCTTACACTAGCAGTCAAAACTTCCAGCAATACCATATCATCAGGTCCTTCTGTAGATCTCATAACTTGGTCCTACCAACCAGGCACCATGTAAATTGACACGATTATCATTCAAAAATTTCGTGAGAGCACCTTAGTTCTCCCTAACAAATTTCTCAAGCGATATCAAAAATCCAGAGGAAAATCTTATAGTGAGAATCAAAACCACTCACAATAACATATCGGAAAAAGGACTTCATCCTTGCCACGAAAGAAATAGGCTTGAAAAAAGCTATTTAAGTGATCTAAAAAATTTTATTTATTCGGAAACCGTACCGAATAAGAAGACCTTATGCCGTTTAGTGGTTCGTCATCGAATGATACATTTTCAGCGACGCGCTGAAATTCATCAATCAGAATATTGGCAACCGAGTAAAGCGGCAGCACAGTGTAATAATTCATCCAACCTATCATTGAATCAAACTTTCAAAAATGGTACTCAAAACTGTTCTAAGCAAACGCCTTCGAGGAAGATAATTTGGTACATTGCTTTTTGCGATATAGACCATTTTGTGGTCAATTCATGCATTTGCTTGAGTCAACTGAAAGAATGCTAACAGTCTGTTTTGCATCATCTTATGAAAAGTTAATGGCCGTTGCATCAGCGCTAACCTGTCTCGAAAATTTCTCGATCGTTGTTTGCACCAGACTGCCA